CTGAAATACTCTACTCTGCTGGAGGACTCCTCTCCTTCCTCTATAACTCCTCTCCTGAAATACTCTGCTCTGCTGGAGGACTCCTCTCCTTCCTCTATAACTCCTCTCCTGAAATACTCTGCACTGCTGGAGGACTCCGCTCCTTCCTCTATAACTCTCCTCTCCTGAAATACTCTGCGCTGCTGGAGGACTCCTCTGCTTCCTCTATAACTCTCCTCTCCTTCCTCTGTATAAACTCCTCCCCTCCCTCTCGGGGTGTTCCGTCTCCCCCTGATGGTGGTTTGGGGTGGTGCAGTCCCTGTGCTGAGTAATGGAGATCAGTGACGCGGCAGCTGAGGTCGGGTTTCCTGCGGTGGGGGAGGCGGCTCCGCACTGATCATCCCGTCATGTGATATGAAAGTCACATTTCTATTTTTTCTTTTGAAGTCTGGATCCCCCTGCTGCCCCTCCCCCAGTAACAGAGGGCGTGTCATATAATCCAACCGCCTCCCCCTCCCCGCCTTCCCTTCATAGAGATCATTTCTATCCTCGGTGCTGCCCCCACCCTGCTCACAGCACCAAGCAGGTGTAGGTTTATCGGCTCCTCCCCTTCAGTCTTGCACAGGTGTATCGGCCCCTCCCCTTCAGTCTCGCACAGGTGTCCCGGCTCCTCCCCTTCAGTCTCGCACAGGTGTACCGACTCCTCCCCTACAGTCTTGCACAGGTGTACCGGCTCCTCCCCTTCAGTCATGCACAGGTGTACCGGCTCCTCCCCTTCAGTCCTGCACAGGTGTACTGGCTCCTCCCCTTCATTCTTGCACAGGTGTACCTATTCCTCCCCTTCAGTCCTGCACAGGTGTAACGGCTCCTCCCCTTCAGTCTTGCACAGGTGTATTGGCTCCTCCCCTTCAGTCTTGCACAGGTGTATCGGCTCCTCCCCTTCAGTCTTGCACAGGTGTATTGGCTCCTCCCCTTCAGTCTTGCACAGGTGTACCGGCTCTTCCCCTTCGGTTTTGCACATGTGTACCCGGCTCCTCCCCTTCAGTGTTGCGCAGGTGTACCGACTCCTCCCCTTCAGTCTCGCACAGGTGTAACGGCTCCTCCCCTTCAGTCTCGCACAGGTGTAACGGCTCCTCCCCTTCAGTCTCGCATAGGTGTACCGACTCCTCCCCTTCAGTCTTGCACAGGTGTATCGGCTCCTCCCCTTCAGTCTTGCACAGGTGTACCAGCTCTTCCCCTTCGGTTTTGCACATGTGTACCGGCCCCTCCCCTTCAGTCTTGCGCAGGTGTACCGGCCCCTCCCCTTCAGTCTTGCGCAGGTGTACCGGCTCCTCCCCTTCAGTCATTCACAGGTGTACCGGCTCCTCCCCTTCAGTCTTGCACAGGTGTACCGGTTCCTCCCCTTCAGTCTCACACAGGTGTATCGGCCTCTCTCTCCCCTTCAGTCTCGCACAGGTGTACCGACTCCTCCCCTTCAGTCTTGCACAGGTGTATCAACTCCTCCCCTTCAGTCTTGCACAGGTGTACCAGCTCCTCCCCTTCGGTTTTGCACATGTGTATTGGCTCCTCCCCTTCAGTCTTGCGCAGGTGTACCAGCCCCTCCCCTTCAGTCTTGCGCAGGTGTACCGGCTCCTCCCCTTCAGTCATGCACAGGTGTACCGGCTCCTCCCCTTCAGTCTTGCGCAGGTGTACCGGCTCCTCCCCTACAGTCTTGCACAGGTGTAACGGCTCCTCCCCTTCAGTCTTGCACAGGTGTATCGGCTCCTCCCCTTCAGTCATGCACAGGTGTACGGGCTCCTCCCCTTCAGTCTTGCACAGGTGTACCGGCTCCTCCCCTTCAGTCTTGCGCAGGTGTACCAGCCCCTCCCCTTCAGTCTTGCGCAGGTGTATCGGCTCCTCCCCTACAGTCTTGCACAGGTGTAACGGCTCCTCCCCTTCAGTCTTGCACAGGTGTATCGGCTCCTCCCCTTCAGTCATGCACAGGTGTACGGGCTCCTCCCCTTCAGTCTTGCACAGATGTTCCGGCTCCTCCCCTCCAGTCTTGCACAGGTGTACCAACTCCTCCCCTTCAGTCCTGCACAGGTGTACCAGCTCCTCCCCTTCAGTCCTGCACAGGTGTATCGGCTCCTCCCCTTCAGTCTTGCACAGGTGTCCCGGCTCCTCCCCTTCAGTCTTGCACAGGTGTACCGGCTCCTCCCCTTCAGTCATGCACAGGTGTACCGACTCCTCCCCTTCAGTCATGCACAGGTGTACCGACTCCTCCCCTTCAGTCTTGCACAGATGTACCGGCTCCTCCCCTTCAGTCATGCACAGGTGTACCAGCTCCTCCCCTTCAGTCTTGCACAGGTGTTCCACACACGCACTGTACACTGCAGCACAGCCATCACCCCCCCCCCCCCCCCCCCCCACCCTGAACTGCAGCACAGCCATTACCGCCCTCCCCCCTGCACTGCAGCACAGCCATCACCCCCCCACACCCTGCACTGCAGCACAGCCATCACCCCCCCCACCCTTCACTGTAGCACAACCGTCACCCCCCCTGCACTGCAGCACAGCCATAACCCCCCCCACACCCTGCACTGCAGCACAGGCACAGCTATCACCCCCATGCACTGCAGCACAGCCGTCACCCACCACCACCACCCTGCACTGCAACACAGCCATCACCCCCCCCACACCCTGCACTGCAGCACAGCTATTACCCCCCCCCACCCTGCGCTGCAGCACAGTAGTCAACCCCCCCCCCCCACCCTGCACTCTAGCACAGCCATCATCCCCACCCCCCTCCTGCTCTGCAGCACAGCCATCATCCCCCGCCCTGCACTGCAGCGCGGCTATCACCCTGCCCTGCACTGCAGCACAGCCATCCCCCCACACAGCCATCACCCCCTCCCCCCCCCACACCCTGCACTGCAGCACAGCCAGTGCCCCCCCCCCCCCCCTGCCCTGCACTGCAGCACAGCCATCACCCCCCCCCCCCGGGAGCTCTGAGCTCGTCTCTGTGGGGTGAGTTTTGCACCAGCTCACCCGGTTTTCTGGGTGTGATCAGTGAAGGATGGGGATGATGATTGGGGATGAATGGTGAGGACGATGATGGGGGATGAATGGTGGGGATGATGGTGTGGATGACGATGGGGGATGAATGGGGGACGATGATGGGGGATGAATGGTGGAGACGATGATGGGGGATGAATGGTGGGGACGATGATGGGGGATGAATGGTGGGGACGATGATGGGGGATGAATGGTGGGGACGTTGATGGGGATGAATGGTGGGGACGATGATGGGGGATGAATGGTGGGGACGATGATGGGGGATGAATGGTGGAGACGATGATGGGGGATGAATGGTGGGGACGATGATGGGGGATGAATGGTGGGGACGATGATGGGGATGAATGGTGGGGACGTTGATGGGGATGAATGGTGGGGATGAATGGTGGGGACGATGATGGGGGAATGAATGGTGGGGACGATGATGGGGGAATGAATGGTGGGGACGATGATGGGGATGAATGGTGGGGACGATGATGGGGGAATGAATGGTGGGGACGATGATGGGGGAATGAATGGTGGGGACGATGATGGGGATGAATGGTGGGGACGTTGATGGGGATGAATGGTGGGGACGATGATGGGGGTAAATGGTGGGGATGATGGTGTGGATGATGATGGGGGAATGAATGGTGGAGACGATGATGGGGGATGAATGGTGGGGACGATGATGGGGGAATGAATGGTGGGGACGATGATGGGGGATGAATGGTGGGGACGATGATGGGGATGAATGGTGGGGGACGATGATTGGGGGATGAATGGTGGGGACGATGATGGGGGATGGCATGTCCCGCACACATTCGTCATTCGCTGGTTGTGACATGAAGGACATTCGATCCTCCGGCTAATTTCGGCATCAAACAGACGCCATCCGCGGAATGTACTCGGAGAAGGCGGAGGATGGGCCAGCGCTGCACAGCAAATCCGGAATTTCCCGGATTCCGGGGACAGTGCCACCATGCAGATTGATAATCGCCCGATCTGCCATCTGACTGGACCATGCGTGGCCCAAATCCCAGAATGTCTCCGCCCCCTGAGGGGCGATTAAAGGTGAACTCCGAGGAGCACGCAATAATGGTGTGATCCTCCTGCGCTCCTAACTACAAATATATATAAATGATTAATTATACAAACCTTCTGAGTGCGGGGAGCTGCCAACGCCCAATCATATACCTCCTGAGTGCGGGGAGCTGCCAACGCCCAATCATATACCTCCTGAGTGCGGGGAGCTGCGAACACCCAATCATATACCTCCTGAGTGCGGGGAGCTGCCAACGCCCAATCATAAGCCTCCTGAGTGCGGGGAGCTGCGAACACCCAATCATATACCTCCTGAGTGCGGGGAGCTGCCAACGCCCAATCATATACCTCCTGAGTGTGGGGAGCTGCCAACGCCCAATCATATACCTCCTGAGTGCGGGGAGCTGCCAACGCCCAATCATAAGCCTCCTGAGTGCGGGGAGCTGCCAACGCCCAATCATAAGCCTCCTGAGTGCGGGGAGCTGCCAACGCCCAATCATACACCTCCTGAGTGGGGGGAGCTGCGAACGCCCAATCATACGCCTCCTGAGTGCGGGGAGCTGCCAACGCCCAATCATATACCTCCTGAGTGCGGGGAGCTGCCAACGCCCAATCATATACCTCCTGAGTGCGGGGAGCTGCCAACACCCAATCATAAGCCTCCTGAGTGCGGGGAGCTGCCAACGCCCAATCATATGCCTCCTGAGTGCGGGGAGCTGCCAACGCCCAATCATATACCTCCTGAGTGGGGGGAGCTGCGAACGCCCAATCATATGCCTCCTGAGTGCGGGGAGCTGCCAACGCCCAATCATATACCTCCTGAGTGCGGGGAGCTGCCAACGCCCAATCATATACCTCCTGAGTGCGGGGAGCTGCCAACGCCCAATCATATACCTCCTGAGTGCGGGGAGCTGCCAACGCCCAATCATATACCTCCTGAGTGCGGGGAGCTGCCAACGCCCAATCATATACCTCCTGAGTGCGGGGAGCTGCCAACGCCCAAATCATATACCTCCTGAGTGCGGGGAGCTGCCAACGCCCAATCATAAGCCTCCTGAGTGCGGGGAGCTGCCAACGCCCAATCATAAGCCTCCTGAGTGCGGGGAGCTGCCAACGCCCAATCATATACCTCCTGACAGATGATGAGAATATCATGGAGCAGCGCTAACCTAACATAATAAATGTGAAAAAAACAACTAGATCCTTAAAGTGAAACATAATAAATAAATCCAAATGGGAGAATACCACACCAAGTGTACGACGTGAGCGGATCCACTCCGGGATCCAATGGGATGGGACTATACCAAGTGTACGACGTGAGCGGATCCACTCCGGGATCCAATGTGATGTCCAAATGGTAGAATACCACACCAAGTGTACGACGTGAGCGGATCCACTCCGGGATCCAATGGGATGGGACTATACCAAGTGTACGACGTGAGCGGATCCCACTCGGGGATCCAATGTGATGTCCAAATGGGACAAATACCACACCAAGTGTACGATGTGAGCGGATCCACTCCCGGATCCAATGGGATGGGACCACACCAAGTGTACGACGTGAGCAGATCCACTCCGGGATCCAATGTGATGTCCAAATGGTAGAATACCACACCAAGTGTACGACATGAGCGGATCCACTCCGGGATCCAATGGGATGGGACTATACCAAGTGTACGACGTGAGCGGATCCACTCCGGGATCCAATGTGATGTCCAAATGGGACAATACCACACCAAGTGTACGATGTGAGCGGATCCACTCCGGGATCCAATGGGATGGGACCACACCAAGTGTACGACGTGAGCAGATCCACTCCGGGATCCAATGTGATGTCCAAATGGTAGAATACCACACCAAGTGTACGACGTGAGCGGATCCACTCCGGGATCCAATGGGATGGGACTATACCAAGCGTACGACGTGAGCGGATCCACTCCGGGATCCAATGTGATGGGACTATACCAAGTGTACGACGTGAGTGGATCCACTCCGGGATCCAATGGGATGGGACTATACCAAGTGTATGACGTGAGCGGATCCACTCTGGGATCCAATGGGATGGGACTATACCAAGTGTACGACGTGAGTGGATCCACTCCGGGATCCAATGGGATGGGACTATACCAAGTGTACGACGTGAGCGGATCCACTCCGGGATCCAATGGGATGGGACTATACCAAGTGTACGACGTGAGCGGATCCACTCCGGGATCCAATGGGATGGGACTATACCAAGTGTACGACGTGAGCGGATCCACTCCGGGATCCAATGGGATGGGACTATACCAAGTGTACGACGTGAGTGGATCCACTCCGGGATCCAATGGGATGGGACTATACCAAGTGTACGATGTGAGCGGATCCACTCCGGGATCCAGTGTGATGTCCAAATGGTGAAAAAAACAAAAAGTATATATTTGAACATATTCACGGTCCAAGTGGGAATGGATGAAGAAAAAGACAAAAAGAGTGTAAAAAACTCCACCTCAGCACTACATAGAGAACGTCGCTGTCCCATAAATCAGGAAAAGTGATCAATAATCCATCCCAACAGATATAGTTAAAAATAAAAAGAATATAAAATATAAATAATAACTTCAAAATTACAAAAATACAAACAGTGAAGACAGAACCGCTACAATGTGTATTAAATATAAAAAAGTTCAAACGTTTTTCATCAACACCAAGAGATCCAATAACTTTGGCCAACGTGCCGGTGACAACCCAAACCAAAGATATCCAAACTGAAACGCCCCTCACCTCCTTCCCGCGACCCAAACGGGCCAAAACACCTGTAGGATCACCAAAAGGATCCCCCATGTAAAGAAATTCCTCTGCGGATGAGATCCCCTTCAGTTAGATGCGTTTTCGGTAGCAGGATCCTCTGCAGGTGAGTACAGGAGTAACACAGCCAACCGACACTGAAATCTTCCATAATGTAAAACCTCTTTAATCCATTTAACCCCTCGCCTACCGGGCACTTCTACCCCCTTCCTGGCCCCCGGGCACTCCCCCCCCCCTTCCTGCCTACCAGGCACTTCTACCCCCTTCCTGCCTACCGGGCACTTCTACCCCCTTCCTGCCTACCGGGCACTTCTACCCCCTTCCTGCCTACCGGGCACTTCTACCCCCTTCCTGCCCCCCGGGCACTCCCCCCCCCCTTCCTGCCTACAGGGCACTTCTACCCCCCTTCCTGCCCCCCGGGCACTCCCCCCCCCCCTTCCTGCCTACCAGGCACTTCTACCCCCTTCCTGCCTACCGGGCACTTCTACCCCCCTTTCTGCCTACCGGGCACTTCTACCCCCTTCCTGCCTACAGGACACTTCTACCCCCTTCCTGCCTACAGGGCACTTCTACCCCCTTCCTGCCTACCAGGCACTCCTACCCCCCCCTTCCTGCCTACCAGGCACTTCTACTCCCTTCCTGCCTACAGGGCACTTCTACCTCCTTCCTGCCCCCCGGGCACTCC